TTTTCTCCTGTAAAATCAATCCAATCATTTTTAACTTTTTGTAAGGAGTTTTTATTTCACCCCTCAATCATCATGTTTCTCAATGGACTTCTAATTCAGAAACTATAAATTGCATTTTGTAAAGATTCGGCCAACCTCGTCTAAAACTCGCATGCAAATTTATTTTAACTTGCTTTGATGGGACCCCGACGGGTCTTTACTAAAAATTATCTATTTATCTATCTATCTAATCGGGGAGGCGTCTGAGAACGCATGATCTGGTCTCTGCGACGGATTCTCCTTGCTCTCTCTAAGGAGCAGTCCCTGACTGACGAACAGCTCGGCACCCTCTTCGTGCAGGTTGAACGTATTTTAAATAAGAGACCGCTTGTCCCTCTAACATCAGATAGCAACGATTTGGAACCGCTTACCCCGAATAGCTTATTGTTGATGAGGAACTCTCCAGTGCTCCCTTGTGGTGACGAATTAGTGGCACGGTACCACGTTGGAAGGAAACGAGTACAGTACCTCGCTGGCGTGTTCTGGAGACGATGGGTAAATGAATATCTCCCAAGTCTGCAGAAAACAACAAAATGGACAAGAGAAGCCGCGGAACTAAAACCAGGTGTTGTTGTTTTAGTTTCTGGGAAGCGCAAACCTCGTGAGAATTAGCCTTTGGGAGCAATAGATACGTGCGAAAGAAATCGCGACGGCCTCGTTAGGATGGTATATATTAGAACGGCGGGCGGTCTCTTAAACAGGGACGTTAGAAATATTTGTCTACTTGAGGGTCAGAGCAGCCGTATACCTCCAAACACATAGATTGTTCTCAAGAGCCGGACGTGGAGAATTGGCGGGCGGTGTTGTATCCAGCTGGTCAACGCTTGGAATTCTCCACGCCCTCCTCGCAAGTGCATCCACGTTTGGCCCATGTTGACATCTCCCTTCCCCCTTTTTGTAACCCTCTTTCGAGCGTGATCGTCGTTCTTTTAATTAACTAGTTTTGTATTTTGACCTTGAGCTGGGAGTTCGATTTGCTCGAACAGTAACAGAGGAATTGTTTGTCTAGGGTATCAGTTATTGAGGTTTGTGCGTTTTTTATCATTACCTTATTCTAGCAATAGTACCGTATATACACCGAAATTTATTTTGGCTTATACGCGTAACTGAATCTGCAAAGAATTCTACAGTCCGTACTAGGACTACAGCTATTTTTTAATGAACTATCCGGCAGAGGTGAAGAAGGGTATGTTGCCAACCAATGGGCAACATTAAAATTATGGGAGCCAGTTTATTAACAAGAGTAGTACATTCTATGAAATTCTGTGAAGTTCTCGTACAGCACTATCACAATGTCTTCATTCCTGTAGTGACTTCGCTTTCTCTTGACCACTTTTCATGGACCACAACGACGCAAATGGTTACGATACATGCAATAAGAAGTTAGTTGAAAAGGTTAAGTACGAAATTATTCGGTTTGCTTATTCTGTTGTCGTCTGTCAGCCACGAACGTTCGCAAATCCACGTTTGGCGTACTTTTCAATACAGGCGTCTATAAGATGAGCTACTTAAGAAACAACATATTTTTATTCTTAAGTGACGTCATTTAGATGCACTCAAACACAGAATCAACATCATTTTCAGTTAAGCAAACCGTAAACCAACATAAAAGCCTAACAAACTGCCGCTCCTCTGTGGCCACGGTAATGCTATTTGTATTTAATGCCAACCTACAGGCACTGTCAAAGAAAAATAAAGCATGGATAACGCCAACAGTGAAAAAACTCCTAAGGGAGTAAATGTAAGTGATGGTGTTTTTGGATAGTTTGGATGTTCTAGGAGAGCAAAACTGCTGCCCGTAAAATGACGTCAGTCCAGAAAGAGAATGGTTATCACGCCCTGCCAACACATGACCCCGCTTTGTGGGTGTGGCGAAGCGTGTCTGGACGTGACGATGGCCACTCCATATTTTAAGGAATTCCAAGAGTCATTTAAGCCGCTTAGACGAAATCTTTCGTATTTAAATGTTCCGCATTTACCTAAATATACATTACTTATCCCAGAAAGTGCTTTTAGTCGTCACTTTTTGGGGAATGATAATTTTCCCAGATAAGTCGATTAGGACGCTTTTATTTAAGTGGGCCACTTGGACGTCATTTATTTGCTGCTCAACCGGACGCTCGAGACGAAGTGGTACGTTGTAGCACGTGGATTTCATGTCTGTCGCACTTTTATGGTCTTACTCACGCCATCGGAAGTAGAAATGCCCGAACTGGTCCCAGAAGTTTACACTGGTAGTCATTTTACCGTGTTACTTGCTAACAAGTTTTGAACCCGTAGACGTAAGCGAGGACGCGGTCTCAGACAAATGCTTTTTGGCGGACTTACGGGAATTCTGCTTAATGGCCGAAATGCCACAATCCACAATAAAGAAGTTGTTTCGGATGCTGCGGCTCTACCATCTTGAAGTACCCAATGACCCAAGGACGCTATTGAAAACGCCTCGAACCTGCATTAGCAAGCCCCCGAACAAAGGCAACTATGTTACTTTACGTCTTGAGCGTGGTTTGCTGGATTAACTACACAGTCTGTCATCAACAACCGTTCCTGAAATGCACATCAAACTGCATATTGACGGAGTGAAGATCTTCAAGGGGTATAGTCAGTGCTTGTGGCCGATTCTTGCCCGTGTTCGCAACCCAGTCGTTGGTCAGTCCTTCATTGTTGGAGTGTTCTCCGGTCGCGGCAAGCCCAATCCGTTGGATTACTTCCTGCATGACTGTGTTGGCGAGCTGAAAGACCTATTGGCCAGTGGTCTGTGTATTCCAGATGCAGAAAATATCGTGAAGGTGAACTTAGACATCTGCGACACCCCTGCTCGATGTTTTGTGCGGCAAGTTAAAGCTCATAATGGCTATTATGGGTGCGACAGGTATGTTGTTTCGTACCTTTAACTAAAACCACCGCAGGTGTTCCCATATGGAAGACTGCCGAATACAGGCAATTTCTAGTGTACGTAGCCCCTGTCGTTTTGTCCTCCTCTTTAGCCGAAGCCTGGTATCAACACCTTTAACAGTTTTCCCTCGCAGTGCTCATAATCTGCCATCCCATATTGCTTATATTCAGGGGAGAATACGGACGGCTTCTGTTTAATCACTTTGTTGCTGATTTCCACCTCGTATAGCCCTTCCGATATTATTTACAATGTCTTTTGTCCGCTTCACCTGTATGAAGATGTGGCTGGGTTTGGAGTGCTGGATAATTTTGTGGCATTTCCTTTCGAGTCCCTTCTACAAAGTGTTCGAAACAGTATAAAGGGCCTACTAACGTAGTCGCGCAGGTTTTCAAGCGCTTTTCTGAAATACGCTTGTCTGAGGTAACAACATACCCAATGCTGTTGGACTACGACGAGGGAGTGGCACGGGCATTTAAACTGCCTCGCGGATCCACCGAAATTTTCCGCAAAGAGTTTGTTCTGTCAACTAAACAGCCCGATGCTGTGGTACTTATTGAAAAAAGACAGTGCCTACTGACATCAGTGTCGGCTACCGGCATAAATTATCTCTCGTTCCTTGACTATGAGGACCTTTTCACAACACCCCTTACCTCTTCTTCCTTGTATATGTTTAAAGCATCCCTTTTACCAGACATTCCTTCAACTGCTGCCCTCTCAGATATTATTTGTAAATATGTTCCCCTTGATATCGACGGTCGTCTTTTCTGATTTCCTTACTGCATACTGTGCGTTCGTTTTGACTCTTGTTTACATTGTTTATTTGAGGCCATACATGTCCCTGTAGATGTATTTGTTTGTGGCGTTCATAAATGCCAAGGCTGTGGCCGTGGTGGCTGCAGCCTGGTTTCACGACGTTGTCAGCATTATGCGGTCTAAGAACCACAAAGAGCAGGCTGTCCTGCTGAATAATAACAGGCGGCCACCCGACGGCACCAAGTTGTACGCTGGGAGGCTACTTAAAAGTAATCCGACGCTGCTAAAGGCTAGACAGCGGGTCCGAAATGCAGTGCTATCGGACAACATTTCTAGCTCCAAGCCGGGCGAATACAGCAATGGGATGAGAAAAAAGTACATGTTCCATGCCGTTAATATTTCTTTGCAGATATGTCCGCAGGCAGACGTCGGATTCAGACGATGAGGAGGAACTACTTTATCGTACGAGGCAGCTACTTGGTTGACCAACACCACCACGAATACTACAGTAAGCACAATTATCGTTAATTATTCCTACACCAAGAACGGACGAACAGATGCCTCAAGTCTTCTCTCAGTCGATTCAGCCTATGCCATCTACTTCATATCGATTGCTGCGTTTTATTGATTATTACGGAAGACTGTCTAAGTAAATGCTGGCAACTGTGTCAGTGCCTGCTACCCAACCTGCACGTAACCAGGAGGTGCAGAGTGACATGACTGACGTAAATGTTCGGTTAGCATCCCTCGAGTAAGATTGTCGACAGTCTCATTGACAGTCTGTTAAAAAGTCGACTTCCTGGCCGAGCAAATGTTCGCCCCCAACAACAGTGTGCTACAACTGCAGACAACGATGAATGATGCGGTCAGTGCATTAGAGAGGGGTCTCACTGCTGCCGACGTCAGGCCCTCTCGTCTGTATTTACCACCGTGCACAGCCGAAGCCTACGAAGACTTCGTTCGTCTACTAATTACTGAGACGATGTTGGCAGAAAAAGCGGTATGTGTATATCTGATTAAATGTTTTCAGATCAAACAACTGGCCGTGGTGGGAGGGCGGAGTGAGAATGACTTTATCACAAATCTCCTGACTGATCTAATTGGTCCGCCGCTTTGTTGCGCCTTCTGCTGGAGGGGCGGATCAAAGGAGAAGCGTTCGTTCCTAGCCTGTCCATTGCTAAGCATCGCCAACGATGAATCTACTTTTTGCTTATTGATACATACAGATGCCATCGACAAAAACCCCCGTTGTAACAATTGCAACATGGAGGTAGTTCAACAGACGGCTATTAATTGGTTCCATGGGTCGAAGGACCGTTATGGGGGGCGATCGAAACGTAGGCGCAACATTCACACAGCACGACATTTTGCTTTGAATGATTGCCTAAATGTGTTCAATTTCAAGGGGTCCACAACTTTCCCCTCCGAATCACGCGTAAGTTAACTGAAAACAGACTGCTGCTAACACATCTTATGTTATTTCCCTCCTTGCAGTAATGTCAAAAGCATAACCCATGACCTACCACGGTTCTTTTTTGCAGGAACCGCCGATAACCAGTGGAAATGGTCCAGAAGCCCTTTAATGCTCATTGAAGAACTGTATCCTTGCCTGTATTTTTCGTGCCGATTTCTCTCATTTGCAAATACGAAATAAACCTTCGTTTCTACCCATTGTCTGTCCACTTTCCTATAATGTGGGATATAGTGAACGCTCACTAGGTCGTCCGGTTGTGCACTTACACGGGGTGTTTATCGCTGATTTGCTTAAGCCGAGGATAGGAGGATGCGATAGCCGCCAGTTTAGAATGAGTGCACTCGCGAGTACAGAACGGAAGCCATAAAGGGATGGAGGACAAATGGAGAATGGGAGGCGCCGCCACGCATTTTTTGAATGGTGCGGTCAAACCTGGCTGTGGTGTCCAGGGCCACACCTTCGCCACGCCAAATGATCACGTTTGGCCGCCTCATAGCCAGCTCTTGCCGCAAGGCGCCGCTAGCCGGGGCTGGTGTTGGCAGGGATTGCGTCAAGTGTTTTCAACTTATTTTCCTCTTCATAGAATTGTGATTGCTCCGAACAAAGTGCGTGAAAGAACACTTACCTGATATCGGCTGTGTGCGGGTTGTCGGGTCAGCACCATTTTTTTACAGGATGAGACCGGCAGAGGGATCAGAGCTCACGAGCTCCATCATTATGGAAGATTAATTTGGTGGATTCAACACCCAAAAATTTTAGGAATTCTTCTGAATGCATGGTGTAAGTAATATTTCTGTTGCCCAAGGAATAATCTCGCAGAATATTCACATCCATGGGCAAGTGTTTTCAGATTGTAATTGTGTTCACCGGAAAGAACTGACGGTATTTAACGGAACGTGCCAGTGAAAGAAATAAAGAAGACTTCGCAGCGACTGTTGAGTCGCGTGGTCAAGATGTTTTGAAGTAGGAAGCGGATTTAAAGTGCGACTATCTAGAGGCCTAAGAAAAAATATTCCAGTTTGTAATCAGCGAAATCGCAACGGATCATGGTTTGCAAGACCGCAGCGTCCTGTGTAAGTAAAATTTCGCGCTCAGGAGTCAAAACCCTCTTGGTAAAAAGTGCTGAATGGATCCTTTTTTCCTCCTCTCACCAGCGCGCACGAGGCTAAATGGAAACGAACAGTATCGCAGGTCCGCAGTCTTCGACCAATCATAGAATCACCTGTTCGACACGGTTAAATAGTTAACTGTTTTTGTATACAACCAAAAAGTCTGACGACGAGCTGGGGAACCATACTCGAAAACTTGCGCATTAGAAGTTATTCTCTTTCCAGATAATCGTGCTCATTTTCAAGTACATTTTACAAAAGCGCATTCTAATATCGCTAGTTTTAATGTGTCGGTAGATATTCCCAGTCGTTCTGCGTGCTTTGGAGACTGTCAGAGAGCAGTGTTCAGAAAGATTAAGACTGTCGAAGTATGACACACCCAGATCCTTAACAACTTCAGTCAGATTTATGTCGCGAGCCTCAACACTTAGTTGAGGCTGATGGTCGCTGCCAAGCACCATGACTGAACACCTTGGTCGGATTACCCCGACGCATAGCAGGGAGGAATGCATGCTCGATCCATAAGATGATGCTCGATCCCATATGCGATTTCAGTAATCATGTCACGATAAGAGGCTTTCACAGTCTTATTGGTCAATATCGCATCGGCTGTACTTTCATCATCACACATTACTGGGATAGGAAAAGGCCTACTAGCTTTCCAGTTTCTTACACCGTCCTGATTTAGTCTGACTGTTTCTCATTTCCCTCTTTTGACTCCTTTTACCTTGTTCCATACTTATTTTACATTGTTCCGTTGCTTTCTAAATTGTGTGGATTTTTTGACACTACGCATGATTCACCTCTTCTCTGTCTTGTCCTTGCTCGCATTCTCTATTAGCCTTCAAAGATATCGGTGTACATTCGAGCTTAACTCCTAAACTTGTTCTTCTTTTGGAAGAACCGTAAAATATGCACGCAGTGGACGCTTTCGCTTTACCACCTTAACCTAACAATTGCTCGATATTTAACTGGGCTGGCCAGTAAGCGGTCTCTATTAGATCGTTGTTGAAATTCCTACGGGCAAAGAGAATCTGTCTGCCGATTCATGATAAACGGAGGCATAACGTCCATTTCATAAAATAGTTTTTATTTCATATAAATTGTTCCATTCTCATTGTGTCGTATCCAGGTGGGATATAATTATGTCTAAAAGTTTTTGACGTACTATTTCTTGAGTGGCATATGCTGTTCGTGGTCCATAAACCTTTTGGAGCCCTTCCTGACCCAGCCGCTTGTCAATAGTACTGCACAGACATGTGAAAGACAAACCAGCTATAGTAGATATTACGGGCCAAATGAGCACTATCGTTAGATGTACTGACTAGCGCAAATGATGTTATTCTCTGTGCCCTTAAAAATCGCTATTTTGGTTCAACACCATTTGAGGCAAGCTCATCGTCAAGGGTTGGTGTCAGTGTCCGTCTTGCAAACTGTACTTGAATTTATCCTGGTGGATTTCTCAGCCTTATAGATTACCTCACACTACACCAAAGTTTTCGAACTCTTGCTTTTATTCCGCCTCCGTTTTCAGGCAGCAAGTTTTCAAATGCCATACAGCTTACTTCCGGCGTTGCTCCAATATCTACGCATTTGCGAAACCCTCATATATAAAGGTGACTTAATTTTTTCTCCACAAACCAGACGTATTGTTGATCTTCTCATAATCTTGTTAGTTTACGCCAGCGCTGCACCTAATTACGTTTTACGGCCGCGTTCTCCAAATGAATGAGATTTCACCGTAGACCAGAGAACTAAGCGTGTTCCCCTTCCGGAATACCTATTCAAACTTGCCGCGCAAATAATTAACCGGGATGCGAGTCAATTCGTGGCATACTACTCACTCATAAGTATTCCTACCCCCGACTGAGCTTCATTGACGTAGAAGCAGTGAAAGCGATATTATCCCACTACCCCGTCCATGGTTTACAACTCAGAGCCTCCTTAATCACGGCTATGGTCGAAGCTGCAGTTTCGAACATTTAACGACCCCTGCCATATAGGCACGCAAGAAGCCCTTCCTTGTTTGCAAAGACTGCAAGAATTTACCGGAACATTTCCGATTTTGGAAACGTCCGTTCATCAATGACACGAATGTTTCCAGTCATGTTAATCTCCGTCTCTCATTAAACTTGAGAATCGTGACAAAAGCTCCGACACAAAATTTCCGACCGTTAAGGTTGCTGAGTGGTGATTTTGTCTACATAAGTCGATACTTTTTATTTGCGCCCACTCCAGGCAGGCGTCTCAGAAATTACCTCATTGAGGTACACAAAATAGTTTATGAGCTTGACAACTTTGGTATTTTTTGGGTACAGACACTAACACTGCCGAGAATATCGGTATCATTGTATGAGTTTGCTACGAACATAAACAATTCGATCATCGGATTTATCGGAGAACCACAAAACCTCATGAAATAGGCCACCTGATTTTATAGTTAGACCTCCAACCTGACTCTTTCATTTGAGTCGGCTTGATTCCGCGTGCTTCACCCATCATAACATATTTTTAAGATTTCGAACATTTGTTGCTGGCGAATACCACACACGGGGTACCCTTCCTAGTCCAACCCTTATATTTATTATCCTTAAAATACACTTCCTTTCCTGTTAATTTGCCCGTTGTGTCGTTATATTGTTTTTTCTGCTTCCAATTGTGAATTACACTGGTTTTCGCTATGTTAGTCGTTCTGGATTCTCAGTACAATTTGTACTTAAATAATTTTATTCCCACCTATATAACTATTTTTATCCTCTCTATTTGCATCTCGTCCTGCTACCCCTTTCCTCACTGGTTTATCCGTCCTGCTTTCCGCAACAATATTGTCCCCTTTCATGGAAACCTTTGACACTACAGGAAGATGAGACGTTTCTTGTCTAGTAATTCTACTTTTCCCTTTTTAAATCTATTGCGTTGTTCCACCTACTCCGTTTCTATCTGTTGTACCTATTTATTACTTTCACATATTTCTTTCGGTTGGCTTTGGTAATCGTGGTCGACACATGGTTTAGAAACGTTTTTTTTACGGGGAAGGTTTCACGTATTTTGACACCTGATTGGTCACATGAACCGTTCCTCCTCGAAAATCTTTTTATAGACCCTTTTGCCTGCACGAACTCCCCAAGCCGAATGCAGCTCGAGGGCCTTTAAATAGCACCTGGGGCGCGTACATTTTTTCCTACCACCAAGATGCTGACGCTCTCAGAAAACTCCTCTTACAATGAAAAGTGGCCTCGCGTTCACAGTGTCGTCAAGCGTATTCTCAACATGGAAAGCGTAACCACTACGGAATGGCAGAACATATTTAGGTAGGTTCGAGCACGCTTCCCTCATTTCCATAGTGATATATATTCAATTATTTCTTGGCAAGAATCCGCCTGCGATTCCATGCTTGCTTCCTTAACTGAATCTATCGGAGAGGCGATAGATAAATCCCATCAGGTAACATCTCGTTGCTGGTTATGCCTAAACATTAAGAGGATTATGCGTAACCAGGACGAGTCAGCGTTGTTAAGGGCTTACATATACGAGTGGTCACGATTTTTCGAACGGAGTGGTTACCTTCCGCAACCTTTCAGCCCACTGGAAAACTTTATTGTCGGCAAGCACCATTCTGCCGGACCAAATAAACGCAAACTGCAGGACAGCTTAGTCCGTAAGGTTTGTTTCCGTCTTCCAAAAAGTCATTTTTAGCTCATGTTGGATACGTGGGACCTAAAAATCTTCAAGGAGATCAAGCAACGTCTGGAGGACAGTGCCATGAAGCTCATTCAAGACGAGCGTGAAGGCACTACTATCGATTCTTCTCTGGTGATAGGCGTGAGAGAATCGTCTGGTTAGTCGATGTGTTTCGTCATTCTTCGGTCTCATTCGTTTTCACGCGTCCGTGAAGTTCCCAAAGTTCTCAGATAATTATCCCAAAATTGTTATGCAAGTCCTTTCCATAATTTTCTGTCCCTTAGGCTCTTCTCCGTTTTAGCGTGAAATCACTGCATCTTGGTTCTCAGGTCTTGCTGTAAAGTCTCCCATTATCATTGTTTCTCGTTAGCTGGTTAATTGCGCTTTGATCTTTTTTTGTCCTCTGTTTTGTGGCCCTAAAATGATTTTTCGATGTTTAGTAAATTTATCCACTACGTCTACGACCAAGGTTTGGAACTATGTGGGAAACTTCGAGACAGCTTACATTGAGAGCATGGAAAAGTTTTGCCGGCCAAGGAACGCCAAATTCATCGCCGAGCACGGAATTAGGGTAGGTTTGAATTTGCTGTTGTTCTTTTGGACGTTCCTACCATGAGGCGTTTTGTGTTTCTGCAGTCACGTGTCATCTGGTACCTATTCACAAAGAACACCATCTTTATTTTTTTAAAGCTGTCAAAAGAAATGCTCAGTTCAACACAGCAACGCCGCTGGGATAGACAGTAGTTAGTTTCATCGATCCCTAAACGCCCGTTGTCAGTCTTTTCTGGAGATGGAATCATGGAATAGGAAGAATAGCCAGACAATATAAAGCCACCATATTTGGTGGAAGTAGGCCACTTTGCTTGCCGAAACGAAGAAATTACAGCGTGAATAAAGATGGCAAGCGGAGACTCAGTTACCATGTGCTATCTCATAAAATGTTAATCGTAATTCCGAAATGCGTTTTTAATTCCAAAAGATTATCTGAGTATGGTTGTAATAATAATTATCGTGGGGCATGATACCAAAATATTTCAGTCGCGTCAGGATGCCGGCTTTCGAACGAGCTCCTTATCGGCCGCCTGCGTAAGCCACATTTCGTAAAAATGGCTACTTGTTTGGCATAAATTTTTTCTCACTGATTTCCGATATCCTTTTAACTTCAAGTATATTTTATAGGCAACATGCAAAAAAATATTCTTCCTCTTTCTCATTTGGTAGCAAAGTGCGTCTTCTTTCAATTTTATACTTGGAGAAATAGTGTCTTCTGGTTTTAAAATGTTTCTGATTGTGAGATTTTTTAAGATCTTGGAAAGGCCAATCATACGGCATCGCATCGGAACACTTAGTAGTTCTGCTTATAAAGTAAACAACGTGATCGACTTCCACTACGTCCACCCTCATCATTATTGCATATAGAGGTGTATGACTCCTCGCGCGAAAAGTATGCATCTTGTAGTTCGGAAACCCTGAATGCAAGTGCAACGGAAGGCCGGACCAAAAATTATTCAGCGATTGAAAAAGTTCTTTAAAATCCAGAGGTACTCTTTCATCATTCATAAGATTTGAAGAAGACGTAATTTGCTACAAAGTCGTTAAAAGGGAGAATATTTCTGTGCGTGTTTTCTATAGAATATATTTAGCTTAACAAAGATGTCCATAATCAATAGTAAAAGTTTGTGCTATATAAGCAGTCATTTTTGCGGAATATAGTTTATGCAAGCGGTTGATAAGGAGTTAATTCGAAAGCCGGCATCGTAGCATAACTGAGTGTTATGCCCCACGATACTTACCATTACAACCCTGCTAAAGTAATCTTCTAGAAGGAAAGCACATCTAACAATCTCAGTCCACATTTCATGACATATCATGCCTGCGTACATCACACCAATGGCCCATAAATGAGGTCTAGCCGAGGGGGTCTACAACAACACTGAACCTCCCTTTTCTCTATTCCTCCCAGCCAAAGATCATGTATGAGCACCGAGCATCTAGTGTGCCCGTTGTCTGTGTTTTTTTGGCCTGTATCCATTAATCTCTCCCTGCTAGTAGGACCACTCCCATAAAAAAGCATCGACTGTTTCAGACAGAGGAATACTCATTGAATACCACACCGGTGACAGTTTTTTGGTGATTTACGTGAACCCTACGGTCAATGCCTTCTAGTTTATCAACAACAGGTGTGCGTCAGTCGCATTAATACTTCCTGTGTTCTCACTGTGCAACTACTTTTACCTCTTTAGTGAAGCATGCCGTCGTCATATTCACAGTGAATCTCTTGAGACATTGCGAACTGCCCTCCCTATCCACTGGACTCTCCTAACTAATAGCGCTTAGGCCTCTGGCAAAATGGTTTCATGAGGAGCAAGGGGTTAGAAAACAAGCCTATGGAATTACACACCGATTGTGTTGTCTTGTTTTCACTTGGTTATTTCAGCCCTGCTCTATTAATGCCTCCCTTAAGGTGTGTATTTCTTTTTTTGCCTACGTCTCTTCAGAAGTACCTCTCTTACGCTCAGCAAAAGCTCTCCGAGGAGGAAGCTCGTGCCCGCGTCTACCTGGACAGTGGACCAAAATTCAACTCCATTGAACGGTTGATGCAGGCCTGTGTTCGTGTTTTTGTCATCGAATATCAGGTATGCCTGCGCCCTGGACAGTTGCTGCCTCTGCTGACTTTCACTGCCATCAGCATACCACTCTTGTGAGTTAGGCTCGGCTAGCCTGCGAATTACGGGCTATGCTGAGTTACCTAACCCGGGGGCCCGACAGTTCGACCCCGTTGTTCCCGGGGAGTGGGAGAGAGGAGAGGGGCAGTAGTGACTTGCGCGTGAGTTTGGGTTTTAATGGAACAGATCTATGCAGCATTTATGACAAAGTAGCCAAGCTGACTGCGAACGGGCCGGGACGCAGTGGTTGAAAAGGCTGAGTAGCCGGTCAATGCGTGCCGTGCACGACCTAATCTCTAATTCGCCGCGAACCAGGCTTCAGAGGAAGGATATCACATATTCGGGGGAGGGGGAGGGCTATAAAGGCCATATGAAGGTGGAATCATTGCGTTCTCGCACTTGATCCGCACGAAGACCAAGTGATTCCATCACTTGACAATGTTCGAGGCCGGGTAATTTAACCTGTCGGATTTATTATTTTGAGGAATACGCGGCATTACTGCGAAGAAGGATGTATCAGCATTGCAATCGGTCTTCGCCCTCCCATTCTCCAGTGGCGTAATTCTAGTGCATGCCACACGCGAGTGCGAAAGTAGTTGAAACCCCACCTTATCTGTTTGATACAACAATGAGGCAGACGATCACTAAATTACCTGTCTGGGTCTTCAGTTATTATGTACTAAACACATACTTAAGGCTGAAGATTATCGACAAAGAAAAAGGGATACCGAAATGACAATTTGTGTCTTAGTAGCCGTCATCTGCCAGCCATACCCAACCCTAGGCTTGCAACACCTGAGGCTCGATTGCGCGATCTTCTGGTGTTTAGACCAAAGTTCTTAGCCATTGAGACCCAAAGCGCAGCCTGGTCGAGGAGGCTCCGTAACGCGATCAGTGAGCGCATTCAGCCACACCTAAGGCCGCCATCAGGAGGACTTTCGTTTAATTCATACTGATCCAACTGTGAAAAACTCGGCGCCTCGGTGGGATTCGAACCCACACAGTAAGGGGGAGGCTTTAGTACAGCCAACGCTCTAACCATTTGAGCTACGAGGCCCCGCCGGACGACACGAGTTTAATCACATCTGGGTCAAGTTACCCGCCCAATCATCTACGACGTCTGGAATCCACCAAATCTGATACAGTAAGTTGACTGCCCAAGCAGGATTTCCTAAGTAATTAACCTAGAATCCACCAGATGACTACCAGGCTCATGTAATTCGTTTAATCACTTTCGACTAAGTGACCAAGACAATTTTTAGTCTTCCCCCACAAGTTAGCAACAGGTCATCGTGTAGACTTTTGGTCCTGAGATAGTTCTTCGTCCTCTTCTGAACCCAGTTCCGCGCCTTCACCATCCTTTCGCGGGCTTTCCTTCGCTGATCTGGTCCCATATTGGGACGGAAAGTGCACTTTGCGTGCCCACACATGTGTGTGGCACACGGGCACACCGCAGTCGTCGCTGCGCCCACTTCCATTTTCAATCATCTCGACTTTGTGCTGCGATTTTGACATGGTCCCGGGAACGGTGGGGGTGGGGTGAGGTAAATGTTGCGTCGGCCTCCTTCGCTGTAAAACAGTTTGCGCGCAAGTCCCTACCGCATCCTGGTGGTGTTTATCGATCGCGATGGGCAAATGATCAGTAGAACACTGGACCTTGGCCCAATCGGGCCCGGATTCATATATCAGGCCATTCTATCGGAGCACGGCATATGCTCTTCCATATGATTACTTACCTTAATGTTTATTTTTTGATTGAAGTCTGCATTATTTAACACATCCACGCTTCTGACGGCAGTAATTTTTCATG